CCGGGAAAATCATCCATCAAGAATGGCGACTCTCGGTCTTCTTCTTCACAGCAATAGACACACCTCCCACGTTCCATTCAGACATCCGGTCTCCCACAGAGGAAGGAGGACGTTAACACACACAGATCTTTTTAGGAAACATACAAAACCCGGTGGTTTCTTAGCTCTATACACGCTAGAGAGTTTCACACACGCATGGTTACAGCTTTCAAAACATACACTTTGAAATCTACTCATAAATCAAACCAAGTAACAACATTCCCATGCCATCCCATGTTCTTCCTTTCTTCTTCCCCAGTTCTTGAGGTGCATTTTTCTAAATCTACATATTGTCATATAAATCTAAAAATTCAATTCCATTTGTTAGTAAATTAATATTGTGTAGGGGAGAATTCACTATGTTACATTGTCACGTTCTTTTTTTAAAACACCACACAAACATGATGCATTTGTGTATATAGAGTTATCAAACATCTACAATACAAGGCTACCAACCACTTCTATTCTAATGAAAGAGTACCCATAGGCCAGTAATTGAAAGCTTCTTGAATACCGAGTGTATAAATAGTACAAAATGTCCCTATGTACTAGGCTTGGGCAATCCATGGTTCTAAATGGTTCTAAAGTACTTACAAAACTAAAGTTCTGGTGGTGAAAATTTCAGAACTCTAACAAAACTCTCAAAATTTCATAATAAATGGCAGTTCCTAATTGGTTCTGTCATTAAAATCACCAATAATGAAATAATAATTAAAATTTTGAAAGTTTTGTTAGAGTTCTGAAATTTTCACCACCAGAACTTTAGTTTTGTAAGTACTTTAGAACCATGGATTGCCCAAGCCTACTATGTACTATTCATATGATTTTAGTCCACAAATCCTGATGTTGTCCTCTTCCTTTGTACCTTTATTCACACAGCAAAGGGGTTCCATTCTTCTTGAAGTTTCTGTGCTTGTATTTGTTTGTTTAGAGCTAAAGTTAATTTGTCCATTTTGGCCATTTAAAAAACTCCTGTAATCCAGTCTTCTGGTTATGTTTGGTGTTTCAGAGTCTGTTTGTCTAGGGATCCCAGTAGAAAGAATTTGCCCCTGTCCATCATAGCAATACAGTGTTCCCTCGCTACTTCGTGGTTCGCTTTTCGCGGACTCGCAGTTTCGCGGGGTTTTGCCTCCCAGTTTATGAATGGTTGCTGTTGCCCAGAGCGGCGTTCTGATCCCGCCTCCTGACAACAATGGCGTGTGCCTGTCGCACCTCAGGGTAAAACCACCTTGCTTAAGACACCAAAGAACACACCAGCAGTTGTCTTTATGAAAGTCCCACAAGAACATGGCAAAGTCCTGAAACATGAACACGGAAAACTGCAAGATAAATCCAAAGTCTCTTGGTTGAAGCTGTTGTGGTTCAGCAACAGCATGATGGGACTGAGAGTGCAAGTGGGCATGATGGGAATGGGAATACTGATGCAGGTGTGGGATTTCAGATTTCTCAGTTTTCTCAGCCACAGTCTGTAGCTGGAGAGAAACCCTTGTTCTCAAGGGAACGGAATGTGGCTGATAACACACTCGGTGAAGGTCACAGTGAGCCGCAGGTGTTAAGGAGAAGTTTACGGATTGCGGCCAAATCTTGAGCTCATCTGTTGGTGGGAAAACTGCTTGTTAGCTGCCTGTTTGATGTTCAATGTTTTGATGTTTTACCTATAAGTAAACTGCCTGGGAGCTGATTCAGTGTCAGTTTCAACGTTGCAAATGGATCGCTGTGCCTTCGGCTCCAGGGCTTGGGGCCTGGGGATTGCCTGCTTCTTGTAACCTCATGCTATTTCCTGGATTTTATTCTGTTTCTTTGCCTCAAGTTTCCTGCTTTGATTCAAGAGAACTTATGGGACCTTTACTTTGTACTATTGAACCTTTTACTGCTTTTACTTGGATTTGTTTGAAACCTCAATAAACTTCTTTCTTCTCAAGTTTGGCTGGTTTGTCAGAGAGCAAGGTGAAACTTAACCTGAGACGCAACAGAAGCAGGAAGTTGCTCTGACACTGAGGCACATTCAAACAGGCTGTTTAATACCCTTTGGACAACATGAAGGCATCCCGATGGCCCCTGGCCTCCCTCCTGTTTGCTATCCTTTCGCTCCTTCGCACACGGACTTCCAACCGGGTGGCCCTCTCTAGAGTTCCCGTATCATCCCGGTCATTCTGCTCGTTAGCAGCCTGTTTCCCTGCTTGCTCGTTATCAGGTTGAGAACTAGGCAAAGGGCGATCTTCTCTTCCTGAGTCCATCTGCACCTGGCTGCTATCTTCAGTTTCTACACTCTCAGGCCTTGCACTTCTGCCCCCTGTTCCTGGTCTTCTTTGTCTAACACAGGGACATCCTTGCTTTGCATCTGACTGTGAATCTGAATCCCATCATCCCCATCCGAATCATTGATACTATCACTCTGTGATTCCAGCTGAGTCACAACACAGCCAATCAAGAGAGATTGCAAAGCAAAGCAGAGAGAGCTAGCAAAAAAAAAAAAGTGTCCCTTTAGATCTCTCCTTGCTTCTGCCTCACCCTCTGTCATGTATCATGTTCTGCAGTGGTGGTTTTTGGTGGTAGGCCTAGCAGTTGGTGATGGAAGGGTTAAGGTAAGTCTTAGTTCTGAAGTGTTGAGTAATCTGTAAGTAAGGGTTCATGGGTGAAAGCAGTTAAGGGTGGAGTGATGCAAGAGACAGGTTGCAGCTGCATGTTTCTGGATATAAGGAGCTAGCCTTGGGAGTGATCTTTGGAAGAAAAATATTTGTCTTGTTTTGGTGGTAGATGCTGCTGGTTCTCCCCCAGGTTTGTGGATTTTTAGTGTCCTGACCTGTTTCCTGAACCTTTGGAATCCTGGAACCTTGAATCTTTGGACTGAGTTTTGACTACGGTATAGACTCTTGATCCCTGGACTTTGCTCATTGATCTCTCAGCGTTTGACCACTGGACTGGACTTTTTGATTATAGAGTTATCTTGAACCTGCAACAGTATTTGCTGTTGTTGTTTTTGTTTTGTATTCTGTGGCTGAGTGCTACAGTGGCGTACGGTGGTGAGATCCAGTCCCTGAAGTTCTGCTGTGGTGGCATGTGAAGTGTGTGGTTCAACTCTTTGTTTGTCACGCAAGTCAGGTGTTCCCACCTCAACATCTTAAAACTTACTCGCCCAATGACGCACAGTGCTCACATCAACACAATCACCACAAACTGCTTGCATACTCCGATGAATCTCCTTTGGCATGACACCTTCTGCTGTCGAGAATCAAGAATTCAATGACTGCACGTTGCTTAAGTAACATTGACTGACCGTCTGTGCAGGGTTCCATACTTTGCACTTTACCAACACAACCATTGAATGCTTAGGCTTCCTGCCAAAATGGAACTGTAGAGAAGAGTCTACAGAACAAGTCAGTACCTGCCGCATACCAGTACTGCCATCTGTTGAGGAGTTACAAAGGTGGAGGCATTACTTTTCATTCAACCCTAGTGTATGGAACTCCATGGTTTCTCATTGATGTGTTATTGGGAGCTGTGTGTTGGTGGTTGGCGTCGATCTAGACTTATTGCTCGGCCTATATTTTTTGCTCACTGAATCGTGGGTTCTTTTTATTTGTTCCTCAATTCTGAAATCTTTCAGAAGAAATTGATAGTTCCCCAATTTTTGTTTTCTGGTCTTTAATATCTGGTTCCATTGAGTCTCCAATTTTTCTCGATCCCTTTTTGGAGTGGGAGGTATTGACACTAGTTTTCGTTTGGGTCAGTATGGTGTGGCGTTAAGAGTCGCCGTGAGATTCTTTTCGGCTATCTCTATCCTCTGCAGAAAGATTGAATCTCTCTTCCTGTCCTTCAGCCAACGGGGCGTGAGAGGAACTCTACCCCTAGGAAGCGAAATTCGCTCTTGCAAGAGTTATCGTGGGAAAGGCCTCCTTTCCATGGCAACCACAAATTGTCAAAATTCCAATTGTGATAGGGATAAAAAGTGAAATCTTCTGAATGGAGACAACAAAAATTACAGGGGTGTTAACCCTCCCCCGTACTACCCAAAACTAAACAAAAACTGATTAAACATGAGGAAGAACTTCCTGACTATGAGAGCCGTTCAGCAGTGGAACTCTCTGCCACGGAGTGTGGTGGAGGCTCCTTCTTTGGAAGCTTTTAAACAGGCTGGAAGGCATTCTGTCAGGGGTGATTTGAATGCAATATTCCTGCTTCTTGGCAGAATGGGGTTGGACTGGATGTCCCATGAGGTCTCTTCCAAGTCTAGGATTCTAGGATTGGAATTACACTTTAAAATGCCTCTGTTCTGGCCCATATACAAATTCAACTTAAGAAATAAACCTACACTCTGCCTCGTAGTTTAAGATCCACCGGGGAGGCCCTGCTCTCGGTCCCACCGGCCTCACAAATGCGTCTGGTGGGGACGAGGGTCAGGGCCTTCTCAGTGGTGACACCCTGCTTGTGGAATTTGCTCCCCAGTGAGATTAGATTGGCGTCCTCCCTTCTTTCCTTTAGGAAAAAACTGAAATTGTGGTTTTAAACTGCACTATAGACATTGAACTGGACCATATGATGATGGTTATGATAATGGAAACAGCTATATGACTGTATAATTAATGTTATTGTTTTAATCTTTTATGTATTTATGGTTTTATATTGTTGTTACATTGTGATATTGCGGCATCGAATTGTTGCCAGTGTTAGCCGCCCTGAGTCCCCCCTCGGGAGTCGAGAAGGGCGGGGTAGAAATGTGGTAAATCAATAAAGAACCTATCTTGTTTGTAATGTGGGGAGAGCCTTAGTTTGAGTTCTTTGGTGTGAATGTAGAGGTTGAGTCTAAGCAAAGCTCTTTCCGCACTCTAAGCACGTTCAGCAGTCCCCGCGTTGCCAACGTCCAACTTACAAAAAGATTGGAGGTGAGACAACAAGAAGTGAGAGAAATTTACTCCTAGGAGGGAAAATTCGTTCCTTTCTAGACTTTGAATCTGTTATAATGGTTTTTAACTGGGAATTTAAAATATGTTTATGTTTCATCCCTGTTTTAATGTTTGCATATTTCTGTATTTTAAGTTGTATGTTCCACTCTCGCCGAAGCTCTTTTCACATTCCAGGCATTTACAGTTTCCTCCTAGCGTGAGTTCGATTATGTTTGCGTAGATCTTCACTGCAAGGGAAGCTCTTTCTGGTTTCTCCCCAGTCTGTGTTCTGTGATGTTTTGATAGCTCTTCACTCTGAGCAAATCTCTTTCCCCACTCCAGGCATTTATAGGGTTTCTCCTCAGTGTGAGTTCTTTGCTGTGAATATAGTTCTGCGCTATGCGCAAAGTTCTTTCCACACTCCTGGCATTTATAACGTTTCTCCCTTGAGTGAGTTCTTTGATGTGAACGTAGCATTTCATTCTGAGCAAAGCACTTTCTACAGTCCAGGAATTTATAGGGTTTCCTCCCGGTGTATTTTCCTTTGATGTGTATTTAAATATAAACTCTGAGTGAATCTCTTTCCACACTCCGGACATTCATAGGGTTTTTCTCCAGTGTGAGTTCTATGATGTGTATGTAGACCTTGACTGTGAGTGAAGCTCTTTCCACATTCCAGGCATTTATAGGGCTTCTCCCCAGTATGAATTCTTTGATGTGAACATAGGTTTTCATTCAGAGCAAAGCTCTTTCCGCATTCCAGGCATTTAAAGGGTTTCTCACCACTGTGAATTCTCTTCTGGTGTACATGCAAATGCCCACTCTGAGTGAATTTCTTTCCACATTTCTGGCATTCATAAGGTTTCTCCCCAGTGTGAGTTCTTTGATGTGAACGTAGACTTTCACTGCGAGTGAAGCTCTTTCCACATTCCTGGCATTTATAGGGTTTCTCCCCAGTGTGAGTTCTTTGATGTGATCGTCGATGTCCACTTTGAGTAAAACTCATTCCGCACTCCAGGCATGTATAGGGTTTCTCACCACTGTGAATACTCTTCTGATGTAAATGCAAACTCCTAATCCAAGTGAATTTCTTTCCACACTCTGGACACTCATAAAGTTTCTCCCCAGTGTGAGTCCTTTGGTGTGAATGTAGGTCTTTACTGTGAGTGAAGCTCTTTCCACATTCCTGGCATTCATAAGGTTTCTCCCCAGTGTGAGTTCTTTGATGTGATCGTAGAGTTCCACCTTGAGAAAAGCTCTTGCCACACTCCAGGCATTTATAGGGTTTCTCACCAGTGTGAGTCCTTTGATGTGAACGTAGATGTCCGCTCTGAGTGAAGTTTTTTCCGCACTCCAGGCATTTAAAGGGTTTCTCACCACTGTGAGTTCTTTGATGTGAACTGTTCGCATAGCTCTTTCCACATTCCTGGCATTCATAAGGTTTCTCCCCAGTGTGAGTTCTTTGATGTGATCGTAGATCTCCACTGTGAGGAAAGCTCTTGCCACACTCCAGGCATTTATAGGGTTTCTCACCGGTGTGAGTCCTTCGATGCGAACGTAGGCCTACACTTTGAGTGAAGCTCTTTCCACATTCCTTGCATTCATAAGGTTTCTCCCCAGTGTGAATTCTTTGATGTGAATGTAGATGTCCGCTCTGAGTGAAGCTCTTTCCGCACTCCAGGCATTTAAAGGGTTTCTCCCCAGTGTGATTTTTTTGATGTAACTTTAGATTTCTGCTCCGAGGAAAGCTCTTTCCACATTCAGTGCATTTATATGCTTCCTTCCCCATGTTTCCCTATCTGAACTCTGAGTGAGGTGAAGAGTTCAGCCAGATCGGCACCTTCGGAGTATTTCTTCTTCCTATAGGACTCGTTTCCTTGCTGCACTTCGGAATTCCAAAATCTTCAATATCCACTAGAGGTTGAATGGTTTCCCGTCATGACAAATGTGGCCCCAAAGAATGCTCCTTTCCCTGGTGAAGAAAGAAGAAGTGAAAGAGAAGGGATGAAAGCCAAAACCTTTGATTCTCCCCCTATTATTTTTATTTTTACCCCGGTTTTTCTCCAGAAGGAGACTCCAAAGTGACTTGCATTAAAAGCATTTCAGTACAATGTAAAATCTATCTATCTATCTATCTATCTATCTATCTATCTATCTATCTATCTATCAGAATTAATTAGCATTGGTGTTCATTAAAGTTTGTTTATTTATTACCATATTTATATGCTGCCTATAACAACATCTGTTATAGAACTCCAGTATGCTGATGACAATGTCGTCTGTGTGCATTCAGAAGAAGATCTACAAGCCACTCTAAACACCTTCGCAGAAGCATACGAGAAGCTTGGCCTGTCATGAACATCGAGAAAACCAAAGTGCTGTTCCAGCAGTCACCAGCCAATCCCTCTCCAATGCCAGAAATACAGCTTAATGGTGTAACATTAGAAAATGTTGACCATTTCCGCTACCTTGGCAGCCACCTCTCCACCAAAGTCAACATCGACGCCGAAATACAACACCGCCTGAGCTCCGCAAGTGCAGCATTTTCCAGAATGAAGCAGAGAGTGTTTGAGGACCGGGACATCCGTAGGGAGACCAAGGTGCTTGTTTATAAAGCTATTGTCCTCCCAACCCTGCTATATGCCTGTGAGACGTGGACTGTCTACAGACGTCACATGAAACTCCTGGAACGATTCCATCAGCGCTGCCTCCGGAAAATCCTGCAAATCTCTTGGGAAGACAAGCGGACAAACGTCAGTGTGCTGGAAGAAGCAAAGACCACCAGCATTGAAGCGATGGTCCTCCAATATCAACTCCGCTGGGCCGGCCACGTTGTCCGGATGCCTGACAACCGTCTCCCAAAGCAGTTGCTCTATTCTGAACTTAAGAACGGAAAACGAAACACTGGTGGACAGGAAAAGAGATTTAAAGATGGCCTCAAAGCCAACCTTAAAAACTCTGGCATAGACACTGAGAACTGGGAAGCCCTGGCCCTTGAGCGCTCCAGCTGGAGGACAGCTGTGACCAGCAGTGCTGCAGAATTTGAGGAGGCACGAGTGGAGGGTGAAAGAGAGAAACGTGCCAGGAGGAAGGCGCGTCAAGCCAACCCCGACCGGGACCGCCTTCCACCTGGAAACCAATGCCCTCACTGCGGAAGAAGATGCAGAGCAAGAATAGGGCTCCACAGCCACGTACGGACCCACAAGGAAATCCATAATGGAAGGCCATCTTACTCGTCCAACGAGGGATCGCCTAAGTAAGATACTGCCTTTCTTACCCTGAAGACGCCTCAAGGCGGTTTACACTCAGCACAGTTCGATGCCCCCCAACATATAAATACAATTAAAAACCTAGCATATAAAATATAGTGGTGGTTTTGGCCCAGCTTACTTGTCCGAACGCATCTGCCCCTACATCCAGCCTCACAGTTTAAGATCATCCGGGGAGGCCCCGCTCTCGCCAGCGTTGCAAATACGTCTGGCGGGGACGAGAGACAGGGCCTTCTCAGTTGTGGCCCCCATCTGTGCAACTCGCTTCCCAACGAGGTAAGATTGGCTCCGTTCCTCCGGTCATTTAGGAAGAAATTGAAGTCGTGGTTCTAGGACCAAGCTTTTGGACAACAGACATAGATAGCACTCTGGGCATGGAATTGGATATGGAATTGACTGGAATGGTGATATGGCTATTAATGTCAGTTTCTGTGTTTTGGGTTATGTAGTAGATTTCCAAAATGTGTTTTTAGAGCTGTAAGCATGTGTATGTAATCATGTCCAGCAGGGATACCGATTCCTCTTTTGCCGGAGACAGATGCTGCCATGTAACTCTGCTGTATATAGCTGTAAATAAAGCTAATTGTTCAATTACTTTATGGCTGTGTGCCGGGACAGCTTTATTGCCTCACCAATTGGCAATAATTGATGCCCCCCAAGATATAAATACAATTAAAAACATTACATATAAAATATAGTGATGGTTTTGACCTGTAAAGCCTTATATGGTTCTGGCCAAGCTTACTTGTCTGAACGCATCTACCCCTACGTCCAGTCTTGCAGTGGTCCATGCTCTTGTTACATCCAGAATAGACTACTGCAACGCACTCTACGCGGGGTTGCCCTTGAAGACTGTTCGGAAACTTCAACTGGTCCACCGAGCGGCAGCCAGACTGCTCACCGGAGCGACGTACAGGGAACACACCACCCCCCTGCTGTGTCAGCTCCACTGGCTGGCAGTTCAGTTCCGAGAACAATTCAAGGTGCTGGTTTTGACCTACCAAACCCTGTACGGTTCCGGTCCAGTGTATCTGTCCGAACGTATCTCCCTCTACGTCCCACCCCGGAGTTTGAGATTATCTGGGGAGGCCCTGCTCTCGACCCCACCGCTATCACAAGTGAGGCTGGTGGGGACGAGGAGCAGGGCCTTCTCAGTGGTGGCCCCACACCTGTGGAACTCATTCCCGGGGGAAATTAGGGCATCAACATCCCTCCTCTCCTTCAGGAGGAAGGTAAAGACGTGGTTGTGGGACCAGGCCTTTGGGCAATCTGACAACTAGATATAGACAACCAGATGGATAGGACTGAAAGGACTGACAATTGTGGAATTGGAATTGAACTATGAGATTGTGAAACGCTGACCATCAATGCGGAGAAATGGTTTGTATTGGTTTTACTGCTTTTATGGTTGTTTTTGCCTACAATAATTATTGTCTTCTGTTAATTGATGTTACTGCTAGATTTGCTGTTTCTGTTAAGTGATGTTATTTGCCTTATTGCTGTTATGTGATGCGGGCATCGAATTGTGCCTTGCTTTTTGTAAGCCCCCTTGAGTCCCCTCCGGGGTGAGAAGGGCGGGGCAGAAGCAACCAAAATAAATAAATAAATAATACTGTTTTTTACTGTTTTAATTAATGTTTTACTTATTGTTTTAATTGTTGTTATGTTGCTCTGTTATATGTAGTGGCATCGAATTGCCAGTAAGGGAATGCTCAAGATCCTGCAAGGAAGAAGACTCCAGCAATACATGAGAGAGAGTTGCCAGATGGTCAAGCTGGGTTTAGAAAAGGCAGAGGAACGAGAGACCAGATTGCCAATATCCGCTGGATAATGGAGAAAGGCAGGGAGTTTCAGAAAAACATCTACTTCTGCTTCATTGACTATTCTAAAGCCTTTGACTGTGTGGATCATCATAAATTGTGGCAAGTTCTTAGTGGGATGGGCATCCCAAGCCCCTTCCCTCTCTCCTGAGGAATCTGTACAAGGACCAAGGAGCAACAGTCAAGAACTGACCACGGAACAACAGACTGTTTCAAGATTGGGAAAGGCGTACGGCAAGGCTGCATCCTCTCACCCAACCTTTTTAACTTGTATGCAGAACACATCATGCGAGGATGTGCGGGGCTTGAGGAATGCAAAGCTGGGGTGAAAATTGGTGGAAGAAACATTAACAACCTCAGATATGCAGATGACACCACTCTGATGGCCGAAAGCGAGGAGGAGCTGAGGAGCCTTCTAATCAAGGTGAAAGAAGAAAGCGCAAAAGCCGGGTTGCAGCTAAACATTAAAAAAACCAAGATTATGGCAACAAGAATGATTGACAACTGGGAAATAGAGGGAGAAAATGTGGAGGCCGTGACAGGGTTTGTATTTCTAGGTGCAAAGATTACTGCAGATGCAGACTGTGACCAGGAAATCAGGAGACGCTTCCTTCTTGGGAGGAGAGCAATGTCCAGTCTCGATCAAAGAGTGAAGAGTAGAGACATCAGACTGGCAACCAAGATCCATTGCCTAGTCCAAGCCATGGTCTTCCCTGTAGTCACCTACGGATGTGAGAGCTGGACCTTCGGGAAGGAAGGCTGAGCGAAGGAAGATCGATGCTTTTGAGCTGTGGTGTTGGAGGAAAGTGCTGAGAGTGCCGTGGACTGCGAGAAGATCCAACCAGTCCATCCTCCAGGAAATAAAGCCCGACTGCTCACTGGAGGGAAAGATACTAGAGACAAAGTTGAAGTACTTTGGCCACATCATGAGGAGACAGGAAAGCCTAGAGAAGACAATTATGCTGGGGAAAATGGAAGGAAAAAGAAAGAGGGGCCAACCAAGGGCAAGATGGATGGATGGCATCCTTGAAGTGACTGGACTGACCTTGAAGGAGCTGGGGGTGACGGCCGACAGGGAGCTCTGGTGTGGGCTGGTCCGTGAGGTCACGAAGAGTCGGAGACAACTGAACGAATGAACAACAACAAATCGAATTGCTGCCAAATGTAAGCCGTCCTGAGTCACCCTTCGGGGGTTGAGAAGGAATGGGATAGAAATACCAGAAACAAATAAATAAATTTGTTGTTGTTCATTCGTTCAGTCGTCTCCGACTCTTCGTGACCTCATGGACCAGCCCACGCCAGAGCTCCCTGTCGGCCGTTACCACCCCCAGCTCCCTCAAGGTCAGTCCAGTCACTTCAAGGATGCCATCCATCCATCTTGCCCTTGGTCGGCCCCTCTTCCTTTTTCCTTCCATTTCACCCAGCAAAATTGTCTTCTTTAAGCTTTCCTGTCTTATCATGATGTGACCAAAGCACTTTATCTTTGCCTCTGCTATCTTTCCCTCCAATGAGCAGTCGGGCTTTATTTCGTGGAGGATGGACTGGTTGGATCTTCTCTCGGTCCAAGGCACTCTCAGAATTTTCCTCCAACACCACAATTCAAAAGCATCTCTCTTCCTTCGCTTAGCCTTCCTTATGGTCCAGCTCTCACATCCGTAGGTTAACACAGGGAATACCATGGCTTTGACTAGGCGGATCTTTGTTGCCAGTCTGATGTCTCTACTCTTCACTATTTTATCGAGACTGGACATTGCTCTCCTCCCAAGAAGTAAGCGTCTTCTGATTTCCTGGCCTCAGTCTGCATCTGCAGTAATCTTTGCACCTAGAAATACAAAGTCTGTCACGGCCTCCACGGTTTCTCCCTCTATTTTCCAGTTGTCAAT